AAAATCCTCCCTGCAACAACTCACAGGCAGACTGGAGGCAACGGAAGCAGATGTTAAAGTGCTCCGCCAAGACACCTCCAACATGCAGACAACTATAACCCAACTACAGGCAGCCCATCAGGCTCTATCACTGCAGGTGGCAGCGCAGGAGGACAGGTACCGCCGCAACCACGTCAAGATAAGGGGCATTCCAGCAGCCGTCCCTCAGGAGGAGCTGCCACACTACGTGAGAAGGCTACTAGCCACAGTGTTGCCACCCACCACTGCAAAAAAAATAAACATAGCTGGGATGTATCGCCTTCCAACGACCACCACCACAACCTCAGGCGACGTCATACTCCGCTGCGCACTACCTCAAGACAAGGGGCAAATAATGACAGCGGTAAGGAACAAGACCCCGCTCACATTTGAGGACTCACAATTGTCCTTCTACCAGGACCTATCCAAAGCCACCTTGCAGTGGCGAAAATCCCTGACCCCTGTCACCACCCGACTACGGGCTGCAGGAGTGCCCTACAGGTGGGGACCCCCACGATCCCTCCTTGTCACATACAAGGGGACCACACGAAAACTAACCACAGGGACTGATATCCCAGCGTTCCTCGCAGCTCTGGATATGCAGGAGGCAACGGGGGCCCCATCGGACTCAAATCACGCCCACGGATGGGACCCATCCAATGTGACACCATTTGTGCCAAGATCTGCAGCCGCCGGCCCGCCGGACACCTGACTGGAAGGGTCGCTTTCAGCCCCAACCCAAACCCACTGGAGGGACTCGTTTAACCAACAGCTCTAGGCTGCACAGTTGCAGAATTACAAAGTTTTACTGCTATGACTTTGCTCACATATTTTTACTGTATTTTTAATTTTCCTTGTGTATACTTTTGTTTATTAATGCAACACCACCCACACGAAGTCACGATCTTTTGACCTTGGTCACTGTTGTGGTGTGACCTAAATATGAATATTAATCTCTTAATACATAATAATTAAGCAATACGGAACAACATTAATATTTTTATAATTCATGGTATTATGGTCGAATATGTGGATAGAAAATACACAAAACGTTGTAATATTAAATGTATATTTAATATAACTATAATAAATAAACAGATGCTAGCGGAATGTCAATTTCAATAATTATACAATACAATACTACACAAAACACTATTGGTTGCTAAGGCTATTACAATTGAAAGAAACAAAAAAAAGGAAGCCAGAGGTCAGGATAAACGAAGTGTAGACAAAGTCAAAGGATGCCAGAGGTCAGGATAAACAAAGTCAGAAGCCGAGGTCAATATGGAGTATAAATTCAGGAGATTAGAACACAGGAGCGTAACACACACACACCAACATCAAAGACTTGATAGAGTTCCCAGGGCAAGGCAGTGCTTATATACCCAGCAGATGACTGATCAGAGTCAGGTGAAGCACAGCAATAGACAAAGTCCAGTCCCCAGGGCTGCAGACAGACAAGGATGAACAGGACTGGACTAGGAACTGCTGTGGCTCAAAGGTAGATAGCAGTCCCAGGACAAAGTACCCAGGTTTAAATCCCCTGATGGGTACTTATGGGGTGACCATGTCTGGCCGTCTGTATGGTACTGTGAGAACAATGACACCGGCTTCAACTGATCTGCAAAATGTGGGCAAAAATAAAACAATTAGGCAAAGCTGTCTCACTGCTCTTTTGACCTACATTCACATGTTGCCTGTTAATTAGCCATAATTCAGTGTTTAAAAAATAAAGCCAAATATTGAACATAATGGATGATTTAATCACTAAATTATTGTGTAGATATTTGCAGCGTGCACCACATTAATGAGGCTGTGCACACCTGCGGCACTCTAAGGGTTAATCTACCATCCCAGCTGGGTCTGAACCAGAATCTTTTGTAAAGACAAAGCAGGTGTTTAGAGCGTGTTGAAGGTGCTTCCTGTTGGCCTCCGTTCCGAGTGTTCCCTGCGTGGCTGGGGGGAGTTTAGGAGGACTCAGTATCCCAGCCCTCCATCCTACTCAATCTGTTTTCCTATTGGCCACATGCCTGTCCCCTGCGCTCCCAGTCTGGAGAACGAAACGTCCAGAATTGCTCTAACGAGGATGTTTACGTTTCTCGCTTCCTTTTGTTCTCCTTGTCTGTTTATTAGAATTAATTGGCAGGATTTTGGGAGCAAAGCCAGCTCTAACAGAAAGCTAGACGGAATAATTAAACTGGCTGTTATCTACGGGAAGCTGCCATTGATCCACAACCGATCTAAACGTTAGCTAAAAATAGAGAAATCAAAGTAAAGCCAGTTAGAGTTCTGAAAAAACACTGGCTTTGGGAATTGGATTGGTTGGATTTTTGTTCCAGTAAATGTGATCGTTCGAGTTCACTTCTAACTTTTCTCCACTCGGCAGTGTCTGAGTAACAGCGAGATTCCTAAGGTGCCCCCAGGGTTTACACTAACCTTCAACGGCTGAAATAGTCACTACATACGCTTCCACTGAAATGGAAACATCCTACGTTGATCCGGATTGTAGGGAATTGGTGGATTTAACCCAGGTTCTCTATCCACTAAACAGCGAGTGGTAGAGAGCTAATACCCGACTTCCAACATTTGCACCAAAATATCAATAATGTTGTTTTAGCGTGCGACCCTCAGCAATGTTTTTGGAGTAACTGGGGGGTGTGTGCCCATCCCCCCAGGCAAGCGAGAGTTAACACCACACTGGTTTAGAATAAAAAGTAATAGGTGGCTCGGGAGTAAACGCAACGTGCAATTTATTTCTATATTGGAAGCAAATTGAAGCTGTCAGCGAGTCAAATTTCACGGAGAGACAATTCTGACATTGCTTCAGGAAACCGATTCCAACACAGACCCCATTCCAAAATATTCTGCTTTAACAAATTGCTTCTCCGTTCATAACATAACCAGTCAATTAATCTTCAAAGAAACACAATACCTATCAAACCCGTTCTCCTGGAAATTCTACTGAGCCAAGAGAATACCAACTAGAGCCAAGAGAATACCAACAAGGGAACTACACCGAGCTACATGGAAATATAGCGAACTACACCGAGCTATATGGGAATATAGGGAACTACACTGAGCTATATGGGATTATAGGGAACTACACCGAGCTATATGGGAATATAGGGAACTACACCCAGCTATATGGGATTATAGGGAACTACACCGAGCTATATGGGATTATAGGGAACTACACCGAGCTATATGGGATTATAGGGAACTACACCGAGCTATATGGGAATATAGGGAACTACACCAAGCTATATGGGATTATAGGGAACTACAACGAGCTATATGGGAATATAGGGAACTACACCGAGCTATATGGGAATATAGGGAACTACACTGAGCTATATGGGATTATAGGGAACTACACCGAGCTATATGGGATTATAGGGAACTACACCGAGCTATATGGGAATATAGGGAACTACACCAAGCTATATGGGATTATAGGGAACTACAACGAGCTATATGGGAATATAGGGAACTACACCGAGCTATATGGGAATATAGGGAACTACACTGAGCTATATGGGAATATAGCGAACTACACCGAGCTATATGGGAATATAGGGAACTACACCGAGCTATATGGGAATATAGAGAACTACACCGAGCTATATGGGAATATAGGAAACTACACTGAGCTATATGGGAATATAGGGAACTACACTGAGCTATATGGGAATATAGCGAACTACACCGAGCTATATGGGAATATAGGGAACTACACCGAGCTATATGGAAATATAGGGAACTACACTGAGCTATATGGGATTATAGGGAACTACACCGAGCTATATGGGAATATAGGGAACTACACCGAGCTATATGGGATTATAGGGAACTACACCAAGCTAAATTGGATTATAGGAAGCTAAGCAATATATTAAGTATGAATATAGGGAACTAAGCACCCAGCCATTTGGGATTATATGAACTACGTACCAGCTATATGGGATTATAGGAACTACACAAAACTATATGGGATTATAGGAAGCTACACCCAGCTTCATATGGATTATAGGAAATACACCGAAGCTATATGTGGGAACAGGAACTACACCCAGCCATATGGGAATATAGGGAACTAAGCACCCAACTATATGGGATTATAGGAACTGGCTAATCAGCTATATATGGGAATATAGAGAACTACACAGAACCATATGGGATTATAGGAACTAAGCACCCGCTATGGGAATATAGGAAAATCCAATCGAAGCTATATATGGGAATATAGGGAACTACACCGAGCTATATGAGCAGGAACTACACTGGAGCTTTATATGGGAATATAGGGAACTACACCGAGCTGTATGGGAATATAGGGAGCTACACCAAGCTATATGGAAATATAGGGAACTACACTGAGCTATATGGGATTATAGGGAACTACACCGAGCTATATGGGAATATAGGGAACTACACAGAGCTATATGGGATTATAGGAAGCTACACAGAGCTATATGGGAATATAGGGAATTACACCGAGCTATTTGGGATTATAAGGAACTACGCCGAGCTATATGGGATTATAGGGAACTACACAAAACTATATGGGATTATAGGAAGCTACACCCAGCTATATGGGATTATAGGGAAATACACTGAGCTATATGGGAATATAGGGAACTACACCCAGCTATATGGGAATATAGGGAACTACACCCAACTATATGGGATTATAGGGAACTACACCGAGCTATATGGGAATATAGGGAGCTACACCAAGCTATATGGGAATATAAGGAACTACACCGAGCTATATGGGATTATAGGGAACTACACCGAGCTATATGGGATTATAGGAAACTACACCCAGCTATATGGGATTATAGGGAACTACACCAAGCTATATGGGAATATAGGGAACTACACCCAGCTATATGGGATTATAGGGTACTACACCGAGCTATATGGGATTATATGGTACTACACTGAGCTATATGAAAATATAGGAAACTACACCGAGCTATATGGAATTAGAAGGGAACTACACCAAGCTATATGGGAATATAGAGAACTACACAGAACTATATGGGATTATAGGGAACTACACCCGGCTATATGGGAATATAGGAAACTACACCGAGCTATATGGGAATATAGGGAACTACACCGAGCTATATGGAAATATAGGGAACTACACTGAGCTATATGGGATTATAGGGAACTACACCGAGCTATATGGGAATATAGGGAACTACACAGAGCTATATGGGATTATAGGAAGCTACACAGAGCTATATGGGAATATAGGGAACTACACCGAGCTATATGGGATTATAGGGAACTACACAAAGCTAAATTGGATTATAGGAAGCTACACAGAGCTATATGGGAATATAGGGAACTACACCGAGCTATTTGGGATTATAAGGAACTACGCCGAGCTATATGGGATTATAGGGAACTACACAAAACTATATGGGATTATAGGAAGCTACACCCAGCTATATGGGATTATAGGGAAATACACTGAGCTATATGGGAATATAGGGAACTACACCCAGCTATATGGGAATATAGGGAACTACACCCAACTATATGGGATTATAGGGAACTACACCGAGCTATATGGGAATATAGGGAGCTACACCAAGCTATATGGGAATATAAGGAACTACACCGAGCTATATGGGATTATAGGGAGCTACACCAAGCTATATGGAAATATAGGGAACTACACTGAGCTATATGGGATTATAGGGAACTACACCGAGCTATATGGGAATATAGGGAACTACACAGAGCTATATGGGATTATAGGAAGCTACACAGAGCTATATGGGAATATAGGGAATTACACCGAGCTATTTGGGATTATAAGGAACTACGCCGAGCTATATGGGATTATAGGGAACTACACAAAACTATATGGGATTATAGGAAGCTACACCCAGCTATATGGGATTATAGGGAAATACACTGAGCTATATGGGAATATAGGGAACTACACCCAGCTATATGGGAATATAGGGAACTACACCCAACTATATGGGATTATAGGGAACTACACCGAGCTATATGGGAATATAGGGAGCTACACCAAGCTATATGGGAATATAGGGAACTACACCGAGCTATATGGGATTATAGGGAACTACACAGAGCTATATGGGATTATAGGAAACTACACCCAGCTATATGGGATTATAGGGAACTACACCAAGCTATATGGGAATATAGGGAACTACACCCAGCTATATGGGATTATAGGGAACTACACCGAGCTATATGGGATTATATGGTACTACACTGAGCTATATGAAAATATAGGAAACTACACCGAGCTATATGGAATTAGAAGGGAACTACACCAAGCTATATGGGAATATAGTGAACTACACCGAGCTATATGGGATTATATGGTACTACACTGAGCTATATGGGAATATAGGAAACTACACCGAGCTATATGGGATTATAGGGAACTACACCGAGCTATATGGGAATATAGGAAACTACACCAAGCTATATCGGATAATAGGGAACTGCACTGAGCTATATGTGATTATAAGGTACTACACTGAGCTATATGGGAATATAGGAAACTACACCGACCAATATGGGAATATAGGGAACTACACCGAGCTATATGGAATTATAGGGAACTACACCGAGCTATATGGGATTATAGGGAACTACACCGAGCTATATGGAATTATAGGGAACTACACCGAGCTATATGGGATTATAGGGAACTACACCGAGCTATATGGTAATATAGGGAACTACACAGAGCTATATGGGATTATATGAAACTACACCCAGCTATATGGGAATATAGGGAACTACACCGAGCTATATGGAATTAGAAGGGAACTACACCTAGCTATATGGAATTAGAAGGGAACTACACCGAGCTATATGGAATATAGGGAACTACACCAAGCTATATGGAATTAGAAGGGAACTACACCGAGCTATTTGGGAATATAGTGAACTACATTGAGCTATATGGGATTATAGGGAACTACACCGAGCTATATGGGAATATAGGAAACTACACCGAGCTATATGGGATTATAGGGAACTACACCGAGCTATATGGGATTATATGGTACTACACTGAGCTATATGAAAATATAGGAAACTACACAGAGCGATATGGGAATATAGGGAACTACACCGAGCTATATGGAATTAGAAGGGAACTACACCGAGCTATATGGGAATATAGGAAACTACACCGAGCTATATGGGATTATAGGAAACTACACCGAGCAATATGGGAATATAGGGAACTACACTGAGCTATATGGGATTACAGGGACCTGCACCGAGCTATATGGGATTATAGGGAACTACACCGAGCTATATGGAATTATAGGGAACTACACTGAGCTATATGGGATTATAGGGAACTACACCAAACTATATGGGATTATATGGTACTACACCAAGCTATATGGAATTATAGGGAACTACACCGGGCTATATGGGATTATAGGGAACTACACAGAGCTATTTGGGATTATAGGAAGCTACACAAAACTATATGGGATTATAGGGAACTACACCCAGCTATATGGGAATATAGGAAACTACATCGAGCTATATGGAATTGTAGGGAAATACATCAAGCTATATGGGATTATAGGGAACTACACGAGCTATATGGAATTAGAAGGAAACTACACAGAGCTATATAGGAATATAGGGAACTACACCGAGCTATATGGGATTATAGGGAACTACACCGAGCTATATGGGATTATAGGGAACTACACCGAGCTATATGGGAATATAGAGAACTACACAGAACTATATGGGATTATAGGGAACTACACCCGGCTATATGGGAATATAGGAAACTACACCGAGCTATATGGGATTATATTGAACTACACCGAGCTATATGGGATTAGAGGTAACTACACCGAGCTATATGGTAATATAGGGAACTACACAGAGCTATATGGGAATATAGGAAACTACACCGAGCTATATGGGATTATAGGGAACTACACCGAGCTATATGGGATTATAGGGAACTACACCGAGCTATATTGTAATATAGGGAACTACACAGAGCTATATGGGATTATATGAAACTACACCCATCTATATGGGAATATAGGAAACTACACCGAGCTATATGCGATGATAGGAAGCTACACAGAGCTATATGGGATTATAGGGAACTACACCCAGCTATATGGGATTATATGAAACTACACCCAGCTATATGGGATTATAGGGAACTACACCGAGCTATAAGAGATTATAGGGGACTACACCGAGCTGTATGTGATTATAGGGAACTACACCGAGCTATATGGAATTATAGGGAACTACAGTGAGCTGTATGGGATTATAGGTAACTACACCAAACTATATGGGATTATATGGTACTACACCGAGCTTTATGGAATTATAGTGAACTACACCGAGCTATATGGGATTATAGGGAACTACACCAAGCTATATGCGATGATAGGAAGCTACACAGAGCTATCTGGGATTATAGGGAACTACACCCAGCTATATGGGAATATAGGAAACTACACCGAGCTATATGGGATTATATTGAACTACACCAAACTATATGGGATTAGAGGTAACTACACCGAGCTATATGGTAATATAGGGAACTACACAGAGCTATATGGGAATATAGGAAACTACACCGAGCTATATGGGATTATAGGGAACTACACCGAGCTATATGGGATTATAGGGAACTACACCGAGCTATATGGTAATATAGGGAACTACACAGAGCTATATGGGATTATATGAAACTACACCCAGCTATATGGTATTATAAGGAACTACACCAAGCTATGTAGGATTATATGGAACTACACCAAGCTATATAGGATTATATGGTACTAGATAGAGCTATATGGGAATATAGGGAACTACAACGAGCTATATGGGATTATATGAAACTACACAAAGCTATATGGGATTATAGGAAGCTGCACAGAGCTATATGGGATTATATGAAACTACACCGAGCTATATGGGATTATAGGGAACTACACCGAGCTATAAGAGATTATAGGGAACTACACCGAGCTGTATGGGATTATAGGGAACTACACCGAGCTATATGGGATTACATGATACTACACTGAGCTATATGGGATTATAGGGAACTACACTGAGCTATATGGGATTACAGGGAACTACACCGAGCTATATGGGATTATAGGAAATTACACCGAGCCATATGGGATTATAGGGAACTACTCCGAGCTATATGGAATTATAGGGAACTACAACGAGCTATATGGGATTATAGGGAACTACACCGAGCTATATGGGATTATAGGGAACTACAACGAGCTATATGGGATTATAGGGAACTACTCCGAGCTATATGGGATTATAGGAAGCTACACAGAGGTATATGGGATTATATGAAACTACACCGAGCTATATAAGATTATATAGTACTACATAGTGGGATTATAGGGAACTACATCGAGCTATATGGGATTATAGGGAACTACACAGAGCTATATGGGATTGTAGGGAACTAGACAGAGCTATATTGGATTATATGAAACTACACAGAGCTATATTGGATTAAAGGGAACTACACTGAGCTCTAAGGGATTATAGGAAACTACACCGAGCTATATGGGAATATAGGAAACTTCACCGAGCTATATGGGATTATAGGGAACTACTCCGAGCTATATGGAATTATAGGGAAGTACACCGAGCTATATGGGATTATAGGAAGATACACCGAGTTATATGGGATTATAGGGAACTATATGGAGCTATATGGGATTATCTGGACCTACACCGAGCTATGAGGGTTAATTAGCTGGGGGTATTTTAGTAAGGGGGCAGGTAAATAGGGTGGATGAGTTGGGGTATGTTATTGATTGGGCAGGTAAGTGTAGGTGGATAAAATGGGGGTATTTTAATGAGTTGGAGAGGTAAGTGGGGGTGGATTAGTTGGGGGTATGTTAGTGAGGGGGCAGATAAGTGGGGGTGGATTATTTGTGCTATGTTAGTGAGGGCAGCAGGTAAGTGGGGGTGGATTATTTGTGCTATGTTAGTGAGGGGACAGGTAAGTAGGGGTGGATTTTTGGGTGTATGTTAGTGAGGGGGCAGGTAAATGGAGGTAGATTAGTTGGGGGTATGTTAGTGAGGCGGCAGGTAAGTGGGGGTGGATTATTTGGGCTATGTTAGTGAGGGGGCAGGTAAGTGAGGGTGGATTTTTAGGTGTATGTTAGTGAGGGGGCAGGTAAGTGGGGGTGGATTAGTTGGGTGTATGTTGAGTGAGGGGAACTTGGAGTGAGAGTGAGGGTGGATTTTTGGGTGTATGTTGAGTGAGGGCAGGTAAATGGGGGGTGGATTAGTTGGGTGTATGTTAGTGAGGGGGCAGGTAACTAGGATTAACTAGGGTAATGTTTGTGGAGAAAGGGCAGAGGGCGGGGCAGATAAATGGGGTGTACCTGGGGGAGGGGGGGAGGCAGGTTAGCAGAATGGAGAAATTCTCACTGCTCTCTCCGGCCTCCATGCGTTATTGTTGGATACATTTTAAAAATGATTTCAATCATTGGGAAAAAAATATATTCATTTTGTATCTTTTATTTATGTTTTTATATTTTAATATGTGGTAAAATTATATATAAATATAGCTCTGCATGTTACAGATCAATATAGCTCTGCATGTGACAGATATATTGTTCTGCAAGTTACACATATATAGCTCTGCGTGTTACAGATATATATCGCTCTGCAAGTTACAGATATCTGCATGTTACAGATATATATCGCTCTGCAAGTTACATATATATAGCTCTGCATGTTACAGATATATTGCTCTGCAAGTTACACATATATAGCTCTGCATGTGACAGATCAATATTGCTCTGCATGTTACAGATATATATCGCTCTGCAAGTTACAGATATATAGCTCTGCATGTTACAGATATATTGTTCTGCAAGTTACACATATATAGCTCTGCATGTGACAGATCAATATTGCTCTGTATGTTACAGATATATATCGCTCTTCATGTTACAGATATATAGCTCTGCATGTTACAGATATATTGCTCTGCAAGTTACACATATATAGCTCTGCATGTTACAGATATATATCGCTCTGCAAGTTACAGATATATAGCTCTGCATGTTACAGATATGTATCGCTCTGCAAGTTACAGATATATAGCTCTGCATGATACAGATATATAGCTCTGCATGTTACAGATATATTGCTCTGCAAGTTACACATATATAGCTCTTCATGTGACAGATCAATATTGCTCTGTATGTTACAGATATATATCGCTCTTCATGTTACAGATATATATAGCTCTGCATGTTATAGATATATATTGCTCTGCATGTTACGGATATATTGCTCTGCATGTTATAGATAGATACCGCTCTGCATGTTATAGTTATATATATAGCTCTGCATGTTACAGTTATATATAGCTCTGCATGTTATAGATAGATATTGCTCTGCATGTTACAGATATATATCGCTCTGCATGTTATAGATATATATAGCTCTGCATGTTACAGATATATATAGCTCTGCATGTTACAGATCAATATAGCTCTGCATGTTACAGATATATATTGCTCTACAAGTTACAGATATATAGCTCTGCATGTTACAGATATATTGCTCTGCAAGTTACACATATATAGCTCTGCATGTTACAGATATATATCGCTCTGCAAGTTACAGATATATAGCTCTGCATGATACAGATATATAGCTCTGCATGTTACAGATATATTGCTCTGCAAGTTACACATATATAGCTCTGCATGTGACAGATCAATATTGCTCTGTATGTTACAGATATATATAGCTCTGCATGTTACAGATATATATAGCTCTACATGTTACAGTTATATATAGCTCTGCATGTTATAGATAGATATTGCTCTGCATGTTACAGATATATCGCTCTGCATGTTATAGATATATATAGCTCTGCATGTTACAGATATATAGCTCTGCATGTTACAGATCAATATTGCTCTGCATGTTACAGATCAATATTGCTCTGCATGTTACAGATATATATAGCTCTGCATGTTATAGTTATATATATATAGCTCTGCATGTGACAGATCAATATTGCTCTGTATGTTACAGATATATATAGCTCTGCATGTTATAGATATATATTGCTCTGCATGTTACAGATATATATAGCTCTGCATGTTACAGATATATATAGCTCTGCATGTTATAGATAGATATTGCTCTGCATGTTACAGATATATATCGCTCTGCATGTTATAGATATATATCGCTCTGCATGTTACAGATATATATCGCTCTGCATGTTATAGATATATATAGCTCTGTATGTTACAGATATATCGCTCTGCATGTTACAGATCAATATTGCTCTGCATGTTACAGATATATATAGCTCGGCACGTTATAGATAGATATTGCTCTGTATGTTACAGATATATATAGCTCTGCATGTTATAGATATATATAGCTCTGCATGTTACATATATATATCGCTCTGCATGTTACAGATATATATCGCTCTGCATGTTACAGATATATAGAGCTGTGTATGTTACAGATATATATTGCTCTGTATGTTACAGATATATAGCTCTGCATGTTACAGATATATATAGCTCTGCATGTTACGGATATATAGCTCGGCATGTTATAGATATATATTGCTCTGCATGTTATAGATAGATACCGCTCTGCATGTTATAGTTATATATATATCGCTCTGCATGTTACAGTTATATATAGCTCTGCATGTTATAGATAGATATTGCTCTGCATGTTACAGATATATATCGCTCTGCATGTTACAGATATATATCGCTCTGCATGTAACAGTTATATATAGCTCTGCATTTATAGATAGATATTGCTCTGCATGTTACAGATATATATCGCTCTTCATGTTATAGATATATATCGCTCTGCATGTTATAGATATATATAGCTCTGCATGTTACAGATCAATATTGCTCTGCATGTTACAGATATATATCGCTCTGCATGTTACAGATATATAGAGCTGTGTATGTTACAGATATATATTGCTCTGTATGTTACAGATATATATCGCTCTGCATGTTACAGATATATATCGCTCTGCATGTTACAGATATATATAGCTCTGCATGTTACGGATATATAGCTCTGCATGTTATAGATATATATTGCTCTGCATGTTACGGATATATTGCTCTGCATGTTGCAGATAGATACCGCTCTGCATGTTATAGTTAGATATATATCGCTCTGCATGTTACAGATATATATCGCTCTGCATGTTATAGATATATATAGCTCTGTATGTTACAGATATATCGCTCTGCATGTTACAGATCAATATTGCTCTGCATGTTACAGATATATATAGCTCGGCATGTTATAGATAGATATTGCTCTGTATGTTACAGATATATATCGCTCTGCATGTTATAGATATATATAGCTCTGCATGTTACAGATATATATAGCTCTGCATGTTACAGATCAATATTGCTCTGCATGTTACAGATATATATAGCTCGGCATGTTATAGATAGATATTGCTCTGTATGTTACAGATATATATCGCTCTGCATGTTATAGATATATATCGCTCTGCATGTTATAGATATATATCGCTCTGTATGTTACAGATATATAGCTCTGCATGTTACAGATCAACATTGCTCTGGTAATGTGTTATGTAGATATATATAGCTCGGCATATTATAGATAGATATTGCTCTGTATGTTACAGGCTATATATCGCCTGCATGTTATAG